CAGTCGCCGGTATGGCGGCCCATATGCTATCGAGTAAACCGGGAGAGCAAAACGTGACATTGCAGTTGGTGTCTGAATTCGAAGGCGTGGCCAGGATACTGGAGAGTCTACCGGCGAACTCAACACTGATCATCAAAGTCTACCTAGGGGAACCATCGGGGAATAATGTCGAGATCGTGAAGGGGATCAAACTCGGGTGGGTGAAACGACACCAGTATCACGTTTGCACAGTTTACGTGCGGGTGGGTGTCGGCTCCAATACCAGTCTGCAGGGAGTCACAGTGGTTGTGGAAAACACGATATCACTAACCAGGATCTTCCTACCCGACAACATACACTTCATGGGGATGAAGTGCACCCCTGAACTATTATCAGAAAACCAGTTGGAAATTATCTCGTAATAGTATTATAGCAATGACCAGTCATCGCCCCAACACCACGCTTAACGACCTAGGGGACACGGAGGGGTTTGATCAGCTTGGTGAGCAATACACCTTATACATCCTGCACTTCAAAGACAACGTGTACAGGCGGGTGTCGTTATCAGATTTTAAAGAGCCTGAATGGTTACTCAACTTAACCATCACTGCACCTTATATCACCTTGAGACAAGATGGTACTGTCTCCGAGCTTAAGAACAATGGCATAATTATAGGATCGTTCGTTCCGGAACCCCAGACCCAGAGTTCGAGGGATTTGTATTTCCAACACCTAATATATATATCACACCAATACCAGACCACTCGGGTAACATGTTAACTTCCAGGAGAAGGCGAAGATAGGGCTCAAATTACTTGATCACCAAGAGGTCTTTAGAAATATCTCGAAACTACACATTCATTCTAGACGTCTATCTCGGAGATGCCCTCGTATCCTGAGCATCTTAACATTATAGATGATATAACGATACGGTGGAACGATAGGGCTAGTAACCAACGTTGTCGTATTGTTAAGGTATCGGAAATTACCCTATACCAGTATTGAGGGGTTTATCTCTTTGAAGAACGTAGAGATAAGACCCCGCTTTTACACGTACGCTAATCTAAGTATTATCGGCTTTAAATACATTAATCAAAGGTTAAATAAACCCCAATTAAAATACATCACGGGATTGAAATATATCCCTGAACTAGTTGGAAAATAGATACCCAATTAAAAAATATTTTCCCAGATATATTATAGGCACACAGGATGGGTCTGTACCCAGTCGTAGAGGACGTGAGCGAAAACCCTGGAAACCGTAGTCGGTTCCGCTTTGAGGCAGTTATGTGATGTGAAACGCCAACTAGAACAAGACCGCGACACACGTAAAGCACTATGTAAAAAGTACCATAGAGCTTGCAATATCGTGGACGGGGCTGACACTGCCCTTATGACAACCAGCATGGGACTAGGTGCGGCAGGTGTTGGGTTGTTAGCTACCATCGTGGCTGCACCTATAGTGCTAGGCATTGAAATAACAGCTGGGGTGGCAGGGGTGTTAGGGTTGGCGCTTAAGTTAGCATCACGCAGACTGCATCGTAAGGCATTGAAACACGACCAGATCAGGGTTCTGGCTGAAGCAAAGCTGAACACAGTAAGTGAGCGTATTTCCACGGCACTTACTGACAGTAAGATCTCAGAGGAGGAGTTTAGTTCAATCCTCTCTGAACTCACAAAATATAACAAAATGAAACAAGATATTCGGTCCAAGTCTCGTAAGTCTACTATCAGCGAGGACGAGAAAAAAAAGTACATAGAACAAGGGGTGAAAAAAGCCCGGCAAGCCTTTATTACAAACACCAAAGAGATCATAGGCGATTCACATTAAACTGTTTCATCGAGGTAAACATGGCATAGTGCCATAGCGGCCAGCCCAGTATTGGATGGGGCAATACCCGTTACTTCCCCCATGCCCCCGGTAGAGGTGCGTTAGGAGGTCCCCAACTTTGTAGTAGGGTAATGGTAGCAAGAGCTGGGGTCCGACCAAAGCCTTACTTGTGAAATAAGGCTTTGCAGAGGCTTTGGTTGAAAGTGATCCAGAACCGCTATCGGCCCAAACTTTTTCATAGTAGGGGTAATGGTAGCAAGAGCTAAGGGCCCGACCAAAGCCTTATTTACCAAATAAGGCTTTGCAGAGGCTTTTGTTGAAAGTGATCCAGAACCCCCATTGTATATACTACTACCATCTGTCTGACACTTGAAACCAGATATCTCACGTCAGAAACCATATGTCTGACACGGGACACCATATATCTCACATCAGAAATCATATGTCTGACACTTGAAACCAGACATCTGACGTCAGAAGCCATATGTCTGACACGGGACACCATATATCTCAATTCAGAAACCACATGTCTGACACGGGACACCAGATATCTCACATAAGAAACCACATGTCTGACACGAGACACCAGATGTCTCACATCAGAAACCACATGTCTGACACGAGACACCAGATATGTCACGTTTGGGTTTGTACTGAGCATGGTTTAGATACCCATATCGATAATACTACGGTAACGGTCTTGAAGGAAGTTGGGACCTTATTAAGTAAATGTGATCAGCTCTTCACAAGAAACACGCTGGTAGGGGTGAGGACACTTTATCATCGTAGAGCAGTCATATCAATACACATCATCCTGCAACGTTTGACAAATTATAAATGGACATCAAAATCACCCATCCCATGAAATATGTTCTGTAATACAACAAATAGGTCTTAATATAATCATATTTTACAGGTTGCATTCAGTAAGCTATGTTTGTGTTATAAAATTCCACACCGTAGTCACAACATTCGCCCAGTGTACTGAAGCAATGGGAAATGATAAACCATTTATGGATATTTATTGATGTCTCTACCCTTCTGGCACCTGTAAACATCATAACCTTATCCCACTACATTTTAAAAGTCTCCTTTGGTACAGAGCTATATCCTAGTTTTGGCGAAGAATTCGGTCATTCTGTCGGCAAAACTACAGTTTCGGACATTTGGAAAAGTAAGGATAAGTGGCTAAATATTTCGGAAGATTCTCTATCTCTCACAAGAGAACGAAATGCTAAACATGCCAAATTAGAGGAAGCACTTTATGTTTGGATGACAGAAATGAACACAAAAAATGCTTCAGTGAATGACCAAATGTTAACTGAGAAAGGCATGGAATTCGGCTCAAAATTAGGAATCAGTGATTTTGCTTATTCTCGCAGTTGGCTTTACCGCTTCAAATCTCGTCATCAAATTAAGAAACAAAATTACCAGGGGGAAGCTGCCAGTGCTGATAAGAATGCAGTAATTAAAGGTAGAGAAGAATTGAAATCTGTCTTGAAAAATTACGACGAAGACGACATCTTCAATCTTGACGAGACCGGCTTGTTTTATAAGCTCGGACCCAATCACACACTTGCCTCTAAGAAAACACCTGGTGTGAAGAAGTCGAAAGAAAGAGTGACAGTTGCATTATGCTGCAATGCTACAGGTACCATCAAAGTGAAACCATTCATGATAGGGAAATATCGACGACCACGCTGCTTTGGTAAAGATTTCAATCCGGAAATCTATGCTCGGTACCATTTTAACAAGAAGGCGTGGATGACCTCTGAAATGTTCAGTGATTGGCTGAGAACTTTTGATAGACAGTGTAGGTCACGTGGCCGTAGTGTTATACTTCTCGTGGACAATGCAGCCAGCCACAATTGCAAACATGTGAAATTGACAAATGTCAAAGTTCATTTTCTTCCTCCCAACACAACATCCAGGATTCAGCCACTTGATGCTGGTATTATTCGGACATTTAAAGCTTATTACAAGCGATCGTTAGTGAGACATTTTATCGCATGTGCAGAAGATGACAAACCTCAGTGCATAAACTTACGAGAAGCCTTGCGATTCGTGAAATCTGCATGGGCAGATGTTTCTTGTCAGACGATCAAGAACTGTTTCAAGCATGTCGAAATTCTGCCAAGTCAAGAATCGCAGATTGATGAAACTGGTGATCTCGAAGATGATATCGTGCTTGCCGACTTGAAAAGGCTACTTCCTCCCGTCTGATGATGAAAACATGTCGCCTGATGATTTCATCGATGCCGATTCCAACGAAGAAACGTGTGATTCACTGACTTCAGAAAACATCATAGAGATGGTGACAGCTGCAGATGATCAGATTGAAAGTGAAGAAGAGGAAGCAGAAGACACTGTCACCATTCCGTCTTTAACAGACATGAGACTGTACCTCGGTAACATCATTACGTACTACGAGTGCCAGGGTGACATCGAAAATGCAGATAAAGCAATGGACATGCTCAATTCTTTAAAACAACCTTTGACGCAGCCCACCATTAAAGACTACTTTCGTAAGTAAAATGTGTGAGTGAAACAATGTGTAATAAATCCAGTGATTGTCTTTGATGTTTTGTTTTGATTTCTTTGATATCAAGGGGAAGTAACTCGGTGCATATACTGTGGTTTCAGCAGTACGAACGTTTCACTATCCAAACGTTTTTTTACAGAAACCGAAGTGTTCGTATTAACGAGGCCTGACTGTAACTACAGGGTTGTTTAAGTATAGGATTGCTCTCGATATATTTCAGTGTTTCTTCCATCAGTTAAGTATTGAGACCGGAATGTATACTGAAAGAAATAAAAGACTTTGTTGTTTGTGCCTGTCACAAAGGATATGTGGAAGAAGAGTACATGGTATATTTACCGTGCAATGAATGTCAACATATAACCGAATTATAACGTCTCATGTTGCCTACACCAACTGAATGAGGAATTGATCTCACGTCAGAAAACAACTAACCACATCACTCACTTCAGAAATCAGGTATCTTGCATACAAAATGCTATCTTACGTCATAAACCATGTACAGACACATATGTACATCCCTTTCACTACATATTAGACTTCAGCTTGACAAACACGACATAAAGGAAGTTGTTATCCATACAGTCTGTCATATTGTACTTCTCATCTTCAACAAGGACACTCCAAGAAGTAACTTACTATCTGTTTCAGTATCGTGTATGGGCAAGGCAAAACGTCCTGTCTCAGCTGGATTACGATCTGGCTGTGGGGGACAAAGGTCATCTCGCATTACGAGACATACTTCAACCACACTTTCCCCTTGCCTAAACAAGGTATGACACAATCCCCCTTATCTAAACAAGCTATGACATAATATTTTTACCTAAACTAGGTATGACACAATCGTTACCTAAACAAGGTATGACACAATCGTTACATAAACATGGTATGACACAATCGTTACATAAACAGGGTATGACACTATCTTTACCTAAACAAGGTATGACACAATCATTACCTAAACAAGGTATGACACAATCGTTACGTAAACATGGTTTGACTCAATCCCCTAACCTTAACAAGCTATGACACAACATTTACCTTTACCTAAACAAAGTATGACCCAATCTTTACTTTAAACGAGGTATGACACAATCATTACCTAAACAACGTATAACACAGTCGTTAACTAAACACCCAATAGCAATATCACGGCGGGATTCACACATTGTAACCTTGTGGGGAATCGTCCTATAATTTTCGGCGGGATGAACGGACACTTGAACCCGTAGCTACTCCACTGTCCCAGGGTACTTTGAACAGTATCTCACTGCTGCATGTTTGATTAGGGACGAATACCCCAAATAGTCTTAGAATTTAGAGTGGTGTTTATTTCTTCGTTGTTTAAGGCTACACACAGCAATATTCCAGCTATATGACGGCAATCTATAAATAATGAAGTCTGAACCAGACAATGCAGTGATCAATGACATGAGCATCGATCCACACAAATTTGGGCGATGATATGTGTCAGCAGAGTCGACGAGCCTGACCACGCGATCCCGTTAGTCATGTATAACAACTAGCATTGGTGGCTGAAGATCATGAGCTTTATCGGAATCGAACACGCACTCATAAGTTTCAGACACGCATATCTTATAGGAAATCATTTCATTGGCATATTGTAACACTTTGTACGGCTGTGCCCCAATGTTACCTGGTCACTGGATCCCTTGACCACTGGTCATTGATAACGACAACACAATTCATTCGGGGGACACGCCATCAGGGCCAGACCTTAATGAGTTGACATTCCATGTATTGTACCTTTTCAAAATGAAATTTATTATATAGCATGTTATTAAAGTAAGTGCAAGCAAATGACTAACGGGATCGGGTGGTCAGGCTCGATCACTTGGTTGACACAAGTCAAGTCAATTGCGTAGATGCTCATGCTGTTGATAACATGCTGTGGCGTAAAACTAAACTCACTCACACACTCACTAACTCATTCGTGTGTTTAACCGCCACGCCCGCACGTGTTGCTTCGATTTAGCGTGTCAGTGTTTTGGGGTAATGTTATTGATTTGAATCAAATGACATTTTCAACTGTTTTAAAAGTGTTACTTTGTTTGTGAGCAAATATCTTTCAATTATTTAATTTTAGTTATTCTTGATAGGTTTATTTTACGGTAACTATGGGAAGTTACAGTCACGTGTTCTACTATGAATATTCAGAGCCCAGATTTTGCTAATTTTGCTGAAAACGTGCATTTCCGGTTTGGACCGCCAGCCCATGCGATCAGAATTGTTTGTCCTCCCGAGTTCTAAAGAATTGTCAATGCTAGGTGTTTGGGTGGTTCACTCTTCAGGCAACTTTGTTTCATAGTACAAATTACATATCATCTTTACATTGTATGTCTACATTCACGGATCACTGTATTGTCTGGTCCAGACTCGATTATTTACACACCGCCGTCATATAGCTCGAATATTGCTGAGTGCAGCGAAAATCTAAACTCAATCACTCATTCACTCTAATTCACATGTTAATCTTTGTAAAGGGTAATATTTTTAATATTTTCAAAGTGCCCCTGGCAAGTTCATGCTTGGGCGAATCTATTATTATTCAGGGTTGCGATACTGTTTTACGTAATGTAATAGCGTCTTTTAGGATTTCTTTTCATAAAGCAAGTTCAATTTAGGCATATTTCTCTGTTCTAGAGTATGTGTCAGGACAATATTTGTATTTTGCACAGAGAAT